AAAATAAACTCAAAATGGATTAAAGACTTGAATAGTAAGGCCAGAAACTATAAAACTCTTAGAGGAAAACATAGGCAATACACTTTGTGACGAGATCATAGCAAGATCCTCTTTGACCCACCTCTGAGAGTAATGGAAATTAAAAAAAAAAACAAAAAAACCCACAAGTGGGACATAATTAAATTTACAAGCTTTTTGCACAGCAAAGGAAACAATAAAGAAGATTAAAAGACAATCCTGAGAATCGGAGAAAATAACTGCAAATGAAATAGCTGACAAAAGACTAATCTTCAAAATATAGAAGCAGCTCATATAGTTCAATATCAGAAAAACAAAGCTCCATCAAAAATTGGGCAGAAGGCCTAAACAGACATTTCTCCAAAGAAGACATCCAGATGGCCAATAAACACATGGTGATCACTAGAGAAATGCCAATCCAAACTACAATGAGGCATCAACTCACACCAGTCAAAACGGCCATCCAAAACTGTAGAAACAATAAATGCTGGAGAGGATGTGGAAAGAAGGGAGCCCTCGGGCACTGTTGGTGGGAATGCAAATTGATGCAGTTGCTATGGAGAACAGAGATTCCTTAATAAATGAGGAATACATGAACCAGCAACATCATCCCTGAGCATACATTTAAGAAACCATAATTCAAAAAGACACACATACCCCAGTGTCACAGCAGCGCTGTTTACAACAGCTTGGACAAGGAAGCAACTTGGACGTTCATTAACAGAAGAATGGATAAAGAAGGTATGGTACATATATGCAATAGAATATAATTCAGCCATAAATAAGAATGAATTTGTGTCAGTTCCAGTGACGTGGATGAATCTAGAGCCTGTTAAGCTAGATTTTTTTTTAATAAATTTTTTAAAAAAATTACAAAGCATTTCATCAGTGAAGATAGTTCAAAACTTCTTTTACAAAGTATAAAACATTATCATGTTAAAAGAAAAAAATTCAGATCCAAGTCTTACATATCATAATCCAAAAATAAAATGTATCAATTACTTATAACCCCTAGACTTACCTGTCCAACCAGTATAAGCAGAGCAATCATGTGGATCAGCTGTCTTCAGCCCTTCTTCCATTTGCTGTAGAAGATCTTTAATTTTGGTCTGGATCCGTCTTGTGAAGTTATTAATAATCTGACAACCAAAAGAAGACATACTATTAAATTACTGAAGACCACGATAATGTTGCAGTGGCTGGGAAGATGCCCTGGAGAAGGGAAAGGCTACCCACCCCAGTACCCTGGCCTGGAGACGTCCATGGACTGTATAGTCCATGGGGTCGCAAAGAGCTGGACGTGACTGAGAGACTTTCACTTCACTTCACTTCACTTCAAACACTTCACCTAACAATCTAAGTTATAAAAACAAACAGACAGAAATTATAATACCTGACCCATTCACTTCACTTCACTTCAAACACTTCACCTAACAATCTAAGTTATAAAAACAAACAGACAGAAATTATAATACCTGACCCATTTCAATGATTCATCGGTTGAAGCGAGTCTACCTTGTTTTTACGAAGTTAAGTTTTAAAATGAGAGCATGCCCTATATGGATTCTAAGTAACAAGTAGGATCACAAAAAATAAGCTGCAGAAATCAAAGAAAAAAACAAAACAAAAAAAGAGTAAAGAGATGGGATTTGCCTACACTAACATTTTAACTTAAGTTAAAGAATATAAGATGGTTTAAAAGTCAAAGACAAGGGAGGAATACATACAATATAAAATATTATAAACAAAAGTAGGCTATGTAACAATATGGAAATACACATAAAATTAACAACATACCTTACGAAAAGAAAAAATCAAATTGCAAGCATATGTAAACATTTTCAATCACTTAGCAATTAATGAATTGAAAATAAATACAAATACTATCAGATTAACAAATAATAAAATATTAAGTTCCAAGGCTGCTAGGAGCTAAAGAAGCAGATATTCTTACTGAGTGCTGGCGATCTTTCTCAAAGGAAATTTATCAGTAATTCTTAAAAAGTTACTTATTTTTGGCTGAACTGGGCCTTCACCACCACACACAGGCTCTCCCTGGTTGTGGCGAGCAGAAGCTACTCTCTAGCTGCTGTGCACGGGCTCCTCATTGTGGTTCTTTCTCTTGTTGCAGAGAATGGGCTCTAGAGCCCGTGTTCAGCAGTTGTGGCATGCGGGACTAGCTGCCCCACAGCATGTGGGATCTTCCCTGACCAGGGATGGAACCCTTGTCCTCTGCACTAGCATGCAGATTCTTAACCAATGGATCACCAGGGAAATCCCACATCAATATTCTTAAACATGTAGTTGACAGTGCTGTCCAGATGTTTCTGCCTTTGATGATTTTTGAAAACTCTAGTCACTACATCAATTGCTGAGGTGTAATTGTATTCTTTTTTTGCCCCCCTTTAGTGTACCTACAGTTTTATTATTTGACATAGACAAATTAGGACTGTTATGTCTTCCTGACAGATTTTATCATTAAGAAACATCCCTCTGTGAGGCTACAGGGAAGTTACTTTCATGTTACTGGACAGTTAGTGCTTTCAGGCCAAATTTTACTGAAATTTGGGGTTCTGGACTAAAAGCAACCTTAGAATTAGGTTACAACTGCGAAAGCCCCAGAGAGGTTTACTTAAACCTGGAGAGATGTGTGTACATTTCAAAGGGGATGACAGTCCAGAGCAGGAAGACACTTCCCAGTCACAGAACTGAAGACAAAGGAGCCTGGTCTTATCAGAGAGATGAGATTTGTTTACATTCCAAAGACTTCACTTTGTGACAAAGGTCCATATAGTCAAAGCTGTGGTAGCTTTCCAGTAGCCATGTAATGGATGTGAGAGCTGGACAGTAAAAAAGGTTGAGCGCCCAAGAGATGCCTTAGAACTGTGGTGCTGAAGAGAAGACTCTTGAGAGTCCCTTGGACAGCAAGGAGATCAAACCAGTCAATCCTAAAGGAAATCAACCCCGAACATTCATTGGAAGGACTGATGCTGAAGCTCCAATACTTTGGCCACCTGCTGCAAAGAGCCAACTCCTTGGAAAAGACCCTGATGCTGGGAAAGACTGAAGGCAGGAGGAAAAGGGGACAATGGAGGATGAGATGGTTGGATGGCATCACTGACTCAATGGACACGAGTTAGAGCAAACTCCAGGAGAAAGTGAAGGACAGGGAAGTCTAGTGTGGTCCAGTACATCATGGGGCTGCAAAGAGTTGGACACGACTGAGTGACTGAATAACAACGATGACGACTTTGATATTTCTGACAAAACTCTCTCAGAAAGGGAAGGAAAGACAGATGTCTTCTTCCCTTTTATAAAAAGCACAGAAAACTTAATTTTTCTTCATTCTTTGCCTATAATACAGACTTTGTCTACAAACCTTTGACCTGGGTTTTGCTGACTCGGGGTTAGACATGAGACTCAGGGAACCACTCACTAGTTACTTTCTTTCTCATAAATAATTAATCTCTGATCCAATAACCTCTTGTGTGCACTCAGGAAAAACTTAATAAGTATAAATATTAAAAACTAAAGGACAAAAATTAGGCATCTATCCACAAATGGAAGAACGTTCATGTGAGTAGTGGAACCCAGCACCTTACTCCAAGGGACTTACAGCAAACCTAGCCGACTAGAGACTTCAGTACCAGCTGTGAAACCTACAGGAGACTGAGCCAGGCCCAGCCCCTGAGCCATAGTCTGACTCAGCAGTCACCTTCAGAGGAGAGAGCCTTTGTGGAAATCCATATTTTGCAGAGAAGTATCGACATTCCTTTTGAGGACCAAGAAAAAAGGAAGTTTGGATGAGCTGCAGTGGCTAAGAGGAACAGCTTGTCTCTGCCTGCACCACATAATGTACAGGTACAGCATGTGGCTAAATAGACGGCCCGTGATTTCTCCCACTGAGTCCAGTTTCTAAGGGGACAGCCACACTCGTTTGGTATCTAAGTCTGCGCAGGACTCTGCTCAGGAGACCTAATTCTCTCATTTCTCATAGTGCATCCAGAGTATCACAGAGGAAGTCCACGCCTGGGGAGAGGAAGCAAGTCAGAGAGTAGCATGTAAGATTCCCAGAGGCTATTAAAGGAATGTAGTTTCTGCGGATGCATTTTGGACTCTATCAGAAAACACAAAAAATCAAGGAGACATGATATCACCAAAAGATCACAATAATCTTCCAGTAACCAAATCTAAAGACAGGAAAATCTACTATTTACACAATAAAGAATTCAAAACAGCTCTTCTAAGGAAACTCAGCTATAAGAAAACACAGAAAGACAATTCAAAGAAATTTAAAAAAATAACAGATTGTGATGCAAATGAGAAATTTAACTAAGAAATAGAAATCACTGAAAAAAAATTCTAGAGTTTAAGAGCTGAACAAATGAAATGAAAAGTGAAATAGCATCAAAAGCAGGTAGACCACATAGAAAACAGAATCAGTAAGACAGCCAGGGAGACTTCCTGGTGATCCAATGGTTAAGAATCTGCCTTGCAATGCAGGGGACATGGGCTCGATCCCTGGTCAGAGAACTAAGATCCCATATGCCACGGAGTAACTAAACCCTCACGCCACTAACTACTGAGCCCCTGCGCTCCAGAGCCTGCAGACCACAGCTAGAGGGTCTGTGGGCCACAACAAGAGGTCCCACAGGACTCAACGAAGACCCTGCATGCTGCAATCAAGACCTGACACAGCCAGATAAAGAAATGAATATGTTTTAAATTCTTAAAAAAAAAAAAGAAGATAGGACCTTTGAAAGAACTCAGCCTAAAGAGAAAAAAGAATAAAAAAGTGAAGAAAGTCTGTATAATCGATGACGACATCCTCAAAAACCCAGCATCCAAATCATTTGAATTCTAGAAGGAAAAATGAGGGAAAACGGGGGCAGAAAACTTATTTAAAGAAACAATGGTTGAGAACTTTCCAAATCTGGAAAGAGATCTGGACATCAAGTTCATGAAGCTAATAAACAGATTGCCCCATTAAGACAACCTAAAATGTCCTTCTGCAAGACATTTTATTTTAAAAACAGAAAGTATAAAAAAATCAAACACAAAAAAGAGAAACCTAAAGACAACAAGAAAAAAAGAAGACTGTAACCTACAAAGGAACCTCCAATGGGACATCAGTGAATTTCTCAGAAGAAATCTTACAGGCCAGGAGACAGTGGGATGATATATTCAAAGCAATGAGAGAAAAAAACAATCAAAAATAATCCACCTGGGAACTTCCCTGGTGGTCCAGTGGTTCTGACCAGTGCTTTCACTGCTGGGAGGACAGGTTTAATCCTTGGTTGGGTAATTAAAATTTTGCATGCTGCTTGGCATGGTCAAAACTTTAAAAAAAATTTTTTAATTAAAAAAAAAAAATTACTCTATGTGGCAGAATTATCCTTCATGGATATGAAGACATTTCCAGACAAAAGATGAGGTAATTCATCATCACTAGACCTGTCTAACAAGAAATGCTGAAAGAAGTTCTCCAAGCTGAAATGAAAGGAGGCTAACCAGTAACATGAAAGAAAAAATACACAGATAAATATGTAGTCAAACTCAGGACCCTGTAATATGATGTTAACACAATGCTACTTTAAAGATTAGAACAAGAGTGTCAGAAGTAACTATAGTTACTATGATTTGTTAATAAATACACAATATAAAAAGGCAAATTATGACATCTAAAAAACTTAAAAGGAGGAAGAGTAAAAGTGGAAAGGTTTTGTATGTGATTGAAGTTAAGCCATTATCAGAGTAAAATATGACTAGGTATAAGATGTTTTATGTATCTCATGATAACCACAAAGCAAATAATTTGACTAGATTCCCAAAAGACAGAGATGGAGAAGAAAAAGCACACAACAGTGGGAAACCACCATCTCACAAAGGAACCCGGCAAGAATCAAAAAGGAGCAAGGAACTACAAAATAGCCAAAACATAATTAAAAAGATGGCACTAGGAAGCTCTTGTATTTGTACTCAGTCACTCAGTCATGTCTGACTCTTTGCGACCCTTTAGACTATAGACCCTCAGGCTCCTCTGTCCACGGAATTTTTCAGCCAAGAATATGGGAGTGGGTTGCTATTTCCTCCTCCAGGGGATCTTCCCAGGCATCACACCCATGTCTCCTGCATTACA